ACAGCTGTTATTCTAACCACCTGTGATGTAATACTGGATAATGTTGCAAGATCCAAAAATAAAAAGTGGGGGAAAAATGCAGACAGAGGAAACAAAGTGCAGCTTTACCTCTTGGACAGAGCAGCTCCCGCTTCTCAGTGCAGCTTCAACCCTGGAGTCTTAAAAGACTGATAACGCTACTGGATTTTTACTACTTACCCTGGCTTCCTTTAAGAGCTTATGTTGTTACATTGCTATTACAAGTCTTTGGTGAAATATTGTTCCTTTCTTCCTCCCCAGCCTTTTAGAATTCCACATTTCTTTGCTCGAAAAAACACCTCGAGGTTGGTCTCAGCCTCAGTGCAGAATCAGAGAAAAGAGCACCTGATACTTGTCTGGGTATTTTCCATCCCAATGTCTGTGATATAGAAAACGTCTATTATAAAAATCATGCATACAAGGACTGGGCAATGAAAATGGTTTGCACAAGTTCACGCCGAGATTGAAAACTTTCTGTCTCATAGCCCTGGCCAGGGCCTTACCCTCTTGCCTGTCCTTCTGCTCTGGTGCACCCGCGTCCCTGTGTTTTGAGTTATTACCTGACTAGCTGGGTTTCTCAGTCCAGTACAGAACACGCTGGTTTCCGAACGGATCCCTAAGGATGTGCCAGCATGTGAATGGCAAAGGCCGCATCAGACTTGAATATCTCTTATTATCTGTTTGCTTCTATGTTTAAAGTTACCTGCTACCTTTGTCAAAACTAGTGCAGTAATTCAGTCTACTGAAATTGTGCGACTAAGTCCCAGATTAGACAAAAGTTTACCGAGAGGTAAATATTGGCAAGAAAACGGCAGGCTCCCCAGCTTAGCCTCTGTGAAGAATGAGAGTTCGGACTTGAAACACGTATGTGGCGAGGCCGTGATTTTGGCTGATTTTTCTCCCAAAATAAGAATGGGAAATGTGTCATCTTGGGTAACAGGTTTTCTCCTCCCAGTGAAAGTCGGCATTTTTCCTTCCTGCAAAGGGGACCCAAAAAATGCTTTTGTTAGAACAGGGTCTGCCAAAATACAAAAGCAGTACGGAGGAGGTGAGCCTGAAATGTTACTGCTATCCAGCAAGTTTCCCGCAAGTATATCTCAGGTCTGTTTAGAGCATTGGAGAGCAGGGATTCCCCCCTTCCCATGGCACGATGCTTTCATGATTAGCCTGTCCTGATAGATCCCAGGACCTGAATGTGATGTCCTTAATAACATCTTGTTTCCCGTGTTCTCCCTCTGCCCCTGCTGCAATTTTCACACTTTCTGCCGCTGTGACCTCATCATTACTATAGGATTTAATACTGACATGCCAGTGTTCAAAAACAACCCTTGCTATTTTTACCTGTTTATTGATTTTTGAAGCAAAATACTAAAGCAAATAAACAAAGCAAAGCATTTAAATCAATATGCAGTCATTATAACTGATACCAGGGCAAAGGAATGCAAACAGCAGGTCTGTGGCTTGGTGCTTCTAGCTCCTGTCCCTCTGTTTTGTTTTTAGTTTTGAGCACAGGGGCCAATATGTGACCATATGTTCACAAACTGCTCGTTACAAATGTCTTCCAAACAATGTTGTCATAGTCTATATGTGATGTATGCATCACATCTTATTACAATGTGAATGTACCCACATGACTGTAAACCTTACTGCATTTTCTTTTCCTGTACTTTGTCACCAGGAACAATTGTTTTCAGTGAACTTCTGCATCTGTTCTGAATAAATCGGAGATATGATTTCACTTCATTCGGTATGGGTGGAAAATTTCATACCACGGAAAATTTACAAAGGTATTGCAGGGAAAATGCTAAGCATGTGCTTAAGTATCATTGATGTTGATCAAGTTAAGTGGACGCTTAAGCCTTAGGAGCTACTACCTCTTCCCAAGCATTGATCTTAGTGCAGGGTTCTGAAAGAAGAGGGACTTGAGCTCCAGTCACAAGGCCGTAAAGGTAGAAGTGCACCTTGAGATGAGGAGTAATCAGCAAAAGTTGATGCAGCCATTACCATAAAAATTGTCGTGGTCATGCCTTTTCATTTTCCAGAGACAAGATCCTTTCAGCATTATCCCCAGATTCTTTCCATTTTCAAAAGTTTTTTTCTCCCCTTGTGATTTGTTTTCCCTTATTTTCCTTTTCGTACAGTCACATTTTCATAGTTTTAACAAGGTTCTGAAGTTAACACTACTCTGAGGCGGTGATATCTAGGCCAAAGAGGTTCACGCCTCTTTGATGTGAGTGAGTTCTTGTGATTTTTGGGGAGGGAGTTCTCGTGATGAGGACATGGAGGAGCAGGGAATGAAGGCTCATAGATCCAGATTCGATCTCTATGGCTTTTCCTCCTGTGAGCCTGTGGCAAATGAGAGAATAATGCAGATTCCATATAACCATCTTTAAAAAAGATCTTCCTTGGGGACAGTGCGGATTAATTAACATATCAGAGGTGCTTTGCGTTCCTTTGATAGGTGTTGCAGAAATGCAAAATGCAAAGATTTTTTTTCTTACTAGACATAGGCTTTGTGAAGGATGGATGTTAATGAAGTTGGTTTACCTCCTTAGAGCTTTTTCCAATGGAAGACTATTTAACTTCTTATGTATGCACCAATACAGTGCTTTACCATCAATTTAAACCAAATAAAATATGCAGCCTCTGGACCAAGACTGGATCTGGTACCTTCACATCATGGAGGCTCATGCTAGTAACTTGCTAGTAGCCTCAGGGCTCTGATAGTAATTTGCCAGATGCTATGCTGAACTTAATTTGCATCTGTATTTACATAAATGCTTTAATTAAAAATATATGCACCAACCTGAAGGGGATGAGCAGCACTGCCTCCTATTTGTTTGCATTCCCCAACAGTAAAAGTCTACCTTGGTTTTTTTCTTACCAATCATACAACTTGACAGAGCTATTCAGGGTACAGACTAGACACTTGACAGATTTGTAGTTAGCTTCTGCTGCAAACTGAGGAGAGGCCTTAAACTTCCAGAACCAAATTATGCCTTTATTTTAGCAACAGAGGAGGTTCGAGCATCTTGGTTCTGATGGTCAAATTTGGTCCACGGGTGCTATAGGTTTAGGGAAGTTCTGTACAGTCATGATTAAAGGGTCTGGCAAATGATGTCTACCTTGTAACACGTGTAAAATAAGGGGTCCTGAAACCCCTTTGAGGCCAGTAGAAATACACTCTGAATACAGCCTCCATCAATAACAACATTTCTGAGCGCTGTTCGTCTCTGAGCCGAGCATTACAGAGCTACCTGCAGCACAGACTGCTCTAAGTACAGGAATTTCTGTGCCTGAGTGGGGACCTGACGTGTGAGAGCTCGTGACCAAGAGAGGGTGAAGGCAGTGGAGATGTTGACTGAGATTTTCGCTTATACGCCGTATTTGATCTGGAAAATGCTTTATAAGTAGAAATAAATTGAAGCCTGAATTAAATCTAGGCTGTGCAGTTTCCATTTGGACAGCAGAGGATGTGCCAGGGAATTCCCTTCAGTGCATGTCACTGTGCTGCTTCATGGTTATTGGGGAAGGTGTCATAAAATGTCGCAAAGGATACAAATTGAGTTGCAAAGTTACGGCCGATTTCTCCGACCACTTTGAAGATACACAAAGGACATGCTAAAGAGAGCCGTAACTACCCTGTACGGATTTGGAGGGCTGCTGAGCTTTATTTAAAGGTGTTTACTTAACTTGCTCTACATGAAGTACTTCAAAGCTACCTTTTCCCCCACTGCGGTGTTGCATATACATCAGAGCGTTACCTGTCCCTTTCTCTGGAGGCCTCTAGCTGAATTTGTCAGTAGTCACGTATGAATGCAGCTTGAGAGAAGCCGTTCAAGGTTCAGCCTATGCAGGTAGTCGTTTGTTAATGAATTTGCCCAGCAGCCCTGTCAAAGGACACAAAGGACATAGGACACCACGTAGGACAACTTGCCATAGGGCAGGTGGCCAAAAGCTGTTCATTGAGGTGCGTGGTAGGAGTCCAGGCATGAAAACGTGTAGGTTCACAGCAAAGTGGCCTAGATACTTAGGCAGGGAGGTGTGGCGCTGGCGGTGAGCAGGGTTGTCCTTCATGTGGTCGGGGACTGGCGGCGGTGGGTGAGGCGCGGGGTCGGGCTGAGCGAGTTCCCGCGCGGCGCCCGGCCCCACGGAGCTGCCGACGGTGGCGCTCCCGCCTGTGGCGCACGCCGGGACCGCGAGCGCAGTCAGAGACCCCGCGTGCCGTCCGGGGTGAGAACTGGGATCCGTCGGGGGGGCTTTACAGCCAGGCAGTGCTTTGCACTACGGGAACATGGTGTTTTAATGCAGTAATGGGCTCAACAAAGCCGGACTCGGCCATCTCAGGAAGCCACAGCCGTAGTTTAGACTGATACAACATAAATAAATCCAAACGATAAATCTCTCTCCACCTCATCTGTAATAAGGGGATGAAGATACTTGCCCTGTTAAATTCATTAGGGCAGTGAGGTGCTCTGATACTTGCTGCAAAGGTGGTGGGAGCAGCCGAAGTAAAGCAGTCCGGGATTTGCCAGCGCAGCTGAAGAAGGGGAAGGGGTAGGTGCATGCGGGTTCCTCAGTCTGCCTTTTCACGGTTGCTAACCAGAGCCAGGAGGGAAGACAAAGCACTGACGGAGGAAGAGACAAAGCTCAGCTCCTCTTTGGGAATGGCGCTTTTTCAGTCCAAGTGGAGCAGATGAAAGAAAGGGGCTGGGATGTGGAGCACAGTGTTATTCTGGACCTTTAGAGAAAGAAAACAAAAAAAAAGGCACAGAAAGTGCCCTGTTAGAAGGTTATATATTTGGGGGAGGTTTCAAATTTTGTTTTAAATCAGCCTTGTAGTTGCCTCAGTTGGTAGGTAGGTTCATCAGGCAGTTTTCCCTGCTTGGTTCTGAGCTTTTTCCCTGCTCTCGTCAAGGCTGCGTCTCCAAGGAGAGGCCGTGCGGTAGGGTAGCAGATCGGAGCTACCCGATGCGCCATCGGAAAGGGTAGCAGATCGGAGCAAGAGGCATGTGGTCTGCCCCCATCCTACAGACCGGATCATTAGTATATGGTAAGTCCATCTCACCTCTGGAGCAATCCCCGTTTCCAATTTGAACCGACAGCCCCTGTTTCAAAAATCTGGTTTTCCCACGGCGATCTCTCAGTGAACTCTGCACAAAGCGAGGGAGCAAGCTAGGCAAGGAATTAAATGAACGGCACAGAGTTTAGAGTAAGGTTTCTTTGAAAATCCTAGTGTCTGCCTGGTTCTAAAATTCACTGCCAAAGCTTTAAGTTTCCTAAGCACTATAAGCCAGGCTTTAATCAGCAGGCGTTGCAACAGCGCACACATATTTTAAGACTCGTGGTATCTGTTACTGTTTCAGAGATACCTGGAGACTTGGTAGAGAGAGTCTGGCCTAATTTCTTCAGCACAGCTAGTAATACATTTTCATTTCCCTATTTAATGCGATTCTCTCTAGTCTTGTTTTTCAAGGGGTTTTCTTCGAAAGGTTGCAAAGCTGCAGGCGATGAATTAGCGCGCAGCAGAAGATAGAAGTCAGGGTGTAGTACAGGAGCCATTCTGCAATTAGAAGTACATTAAAAATTGGGCTTAAACCTGGGAGTGGAGTAGGGTGTGACAGGGCGTGGGAGAGGGACCAGGCCAGTTCCCTGCGCTGCTGTAAGGAGACAACCAGGACTGAGTCTTCTCAAATTGCAGCTGGAGATAGCGAAGCGGGAAGGTGGTCGAAGTGAAAGTAGGCGACTTCACGTCGGCTAGGCGCCGGCGGGGACGAGGCTGGAGGAGGAGGTGACGGCTGCTTCGGGCAAGGAGCACGCGGCGCTTGGGAGAGGGCACCCGCGGGAAGGCCGCTTGCCCGCGTGCGGCGCGCTGGCTGGAGTCAGGCACCGACGGAGGCCGGGTCCTGAGCCCCGCGCGGGGCCGGGCCCCGTGGC